CGTTTGGCAATAAAGATGCTTTTATTAAATCTGCCCCGGCGGCTGCGCGTCTCATCTCTCCCTCTTTTTCCGTCTCATCCCGTTGCCGAAAGCCGGGGCTCTTTCACCCTCTCCCTCTCTCTCGTATTTCTTCGCATGTTGGTTTATGGCTGCGTTCTTTCTGTTTCTTTATGGAGATCGTGACGTCTCAAAAGACAGCGACGTCGTCTTTGTCGCGTCTGCTCGTCTTCGTGCATCGAGAAACGAACAGATCGCAGAGAAAAACGGCAGGAGGGCATTTTTACCAAATTACCTTACCTAATGACGGACACGGTCACGATATCTAGATTTATACCGCTCGTGAAGTTTCATCACTTCATTTGTCATCCGCCGTATCGGCCGTTGGCCGGAAAAAAGTCTTATTCAATTAATTATATAGTTTTATCAGACTTTGTATATCTTGGATTTTTTAATATAAATATAGTTAATATTTTAACAGTTTTTTTATTCTTGTATAATTGGCTATGAATGTTAAGATACTTAACTAAACCTAGCTGTTGCGCTTCGCGTTACTTGAACTTGTTGATCGTATAAATATTCGCTGCAGGATATTATTGCAATCGAATTCAGGATGTCGTAAACACAATGTAAACCTAGATTTTTATCGAAAAATTTTACGCGGGATAAAAAAAGAGAAAAGGACCAATAAATCGTCCCATTTCTCCCTTCGTCGGGCCTTCATAAGCCGTGAGCAACCTCGAGGGTGCGCGTCTAATTCCGATGAAGCACGTTAGATTCTATGGACGGAAGGAGGCGGAAAAAACGCGCGAGAGATCGATAAATCGGGAGTCGCTCCGGATGGTAAACAAAAGCTGAAAATAAGAAAGGAAGCCCTCGTTAAACCTCATTAAAACCGGGATAGTTATGCTCGAGGCACCCCCTGGATTAATGCGGCGTATGACGAGGGGCTCTCGCATTCCCGTAGCGAGAATCGAAAGCTTCGAAAATTCATGATTCGCTTCGAGATACGGTCCTCTCTCTCTCTCTCTGTCTGTCGTCCACAATGAACATTCATAATGATGACGTGAATCAACCGCGTCAGAATACGCTTTGATGTGTTGGAGAAAAGCAAAGAAAACAAACGCGCCGATAAATACTATGATGCAAATTCGCGAGAAGAAATATCTAATATTATGTGCGATTTATTCTAAAAAAAAAATGTATTCATTCGATTCTCTTGAATATAATATTTTGCACAATGAATAAATAGCGACTGTAATAGCGACTCTAAGAAGCCATCAATAATGATAATATGAATTGATTAATCTCATCAATGTACATCCCGCGCCATTAGCTATACGCGTCATTAGCTTTCACGATCGGATAAGGATTAATCGGCTCCCCAGAGATATTCTTCAATTTAGTCGATATAGGCTACTCTTTAATGATCCTCGATAGATAAGATGTTACCCGGTATTCTTCGGATGAGTATACGATCGACCTAATATAATTCATCGATAGTCAACTAATCGGGCAATCACGCCAAGAGGCGCGTTTTTTATTTAAAAAATAAGTAAGAATAAAATAAAATATAAAAAAGTAATGAATTAAAAAGTACTATGTACATAATAAAATTAATCGAACATATTTTATACCTATATATTATGGTAAATATTAATATATTTTTTATCGAGGCAAATATTAATCAGAAAAACTTTTATAAAATTTTTCCAATATCACATATTTTCCCACGATTACCATGAGATTTTCAGGATAAATTCTAAGAGAAAATTATCTCTGTGTATAACAAAAGAACATATAATAAAATAAGAAAACACTGAAATAAATAAGCCATTCGCACGCAGTCAATGTTGAAAGTTGAATAAAAAGCGTCGGTACTTTCTAATATCAGCGACCCTAATCGGAAGATTCGCCACGCCGATTAATCGTCCGAGAAGGGGGATCAGTTTGTCGGAAATGAAATATCTGGATAGAGAAAATCACGCTCGGCCATTAAAGAGATCGACGCTCCTTCCTCTCATTTAAGATTGTTAGGGGCAAATTGTCGCTACCTGTAACCTGGTATACACTCACGTTAGCCATTATTAGCCGCCGGGGCTTCTTCGATCTCGCCCGCGATCGAAGGGGATTATTCGCCTATTATGGATTCGTGACTATCGACGACCGGTCGGCGCGTCGATGAACATTCTTCAAATTTACGCCGAAACCGTATCCGTTTCCCGTACAATCTCATCTTGGCTGTATCATCTCGGCCGTGCCATCTTAACGCGTTCAGTAAATTTGTTGATCAAAGCGTGATCGTCTCGATTCTCTTTACTATAATAGAAAACAGCGGGATTTCTTGATTGTAATAATAAATAATATGATTTTGACAGCTCAGCGAATGTTCAAATTAAGACGTGAAATTGAAATCAAAGAAATTCGTATATACAATATATAAATAGAATTATATATATATATAGAATTATTACAGAAAAATTATTCTTCTCTCATGTTAATGTATTCTTATCTAACGAAAATAAAAATTATTACACATTTTTAATAAAATTGCGATCGCCTCATTTTTTTATACATTACACAGACAAAATTTTCTTTTAGAATTTACCTGAAAATCATGCTAATTGTGAGAATATTGAGATTTTGAAGAATTTTATGAGAGTTTCTTTAATTAATATTCATCACGATAAAAAATATTAATATGTACATAGTAAAATTAATCGAACATATTTTATTTCTTTTTGTGGTAAATATTAATATTTTTCATTGTAATAAATATTTAATCAGAGAAATTCTTATAAAATTTTTTCAATACCAAATTGTCCCACGATTATCATGATTTTCAGAGAGAAAATTCTCTCTCTCTGTGTACAATCGAGAAAACGAGAAAATTGAAAAAAGTTTGTCAACAATTATGCGCTCGATTCTAATTTAGTATTGAATAAACATCGATACCAGAGGAAAATCGGTGTAATTTACACCATGTTTTCATCTCGATTTTCTCTCTTATACAAACAGAACAAACTGCCATTTCATTTTCTTCCCGGAACGTCAATTGAGGTAAAAGGCAAATATTCCCAGGATTATACGAGACGGTTGCAATTTCTGATACGTGTCCTTGAACCCGCTGTGTTTGAGCGGCGTTTAACATAACTCGCGTAATAACTCGCTACTTATGTACCACTTTGGATCCGCGCCGGGCATCTCGAGGGATGCTTTCGCTCAAATAATCACGAAGAAAGCCAGCATTCGCCAGTATTCCCCGTGGACGGATTCTCTCCTCGCGTGAGATGCATCCGCGAAACGTTGTTGCAAAGCGACCATCGTGTCAATAAAATAATCGGCTGTCGGAAACTCGCGTAGGATATTTGTCTGTAGCGGGGAGCGCGCATTTATTTGGCCAGTTCTTGCGAACAGCAAAGTGCTCGGATAATTGTGTGTGTTTGTGTGCATGAGAGAGAAATTAGACAAGTTTACCTTCGTCTCCCGGAGGAAATTACCCCGTAGATAGAGATGATACTCTTGCAGGAAAACATATTCCCTGAATGCGCACGCTAATGATATTATAATTCTCCGGATCTCTCTCCTTTTTTCTAATTTCGAAAAGGTAATAATATAGTTTAGAACTTGGGAAAAAATAATGCGTTATTAATTTTTAAACCGTTATTATTTTTCTCACTATATAGATTCTATTGCTTGAGAGCGAGGGATCTTTATCCTTAAAGATCTTCAATCATGATTTCAAATCGATATTAAAGATGATTAAAGAAAGAATTTTTGAATGTTTAGAATTTTGTAATTTTTCGGTTATATGATATATAGCTTTGTAATTATATTTCTGTGCACGCATATACATTAATTATCTTAAAATTGAATAAAAATATTCATAAGATGAGACGATTAAAGAATTTTCGATTATGTTTATAGAATCGCGTAATTTTTCGGTTATATGATTACAGCTTTGCAATAGAGAGAATTTTCTCTTAGAATTTACCCTGTAAATCATGGTAATCATGGAACAATATGGTACTGGAAACATTTCATAAAAGCTCTGATTAATATTTACCATACAATAAAAATATTAATATCTACTACAATAAGATATAAAATTTATTATACAGCCGTTGACACAGCCGTTGCGACACTTTTTTAAGTAAATTTCTGAACAAAGTTTATTGCATATTCATAAACTTACTAAAAAAAAGTGTCGCAACCCCTGTGTTTCAACGACTGTACATATTAATAATTTTATTGTAGTAAATATTAATCAGAGAAACTTTTATCAACTTCAAAATCATATTATCCCACGTCCCACGATTACCATTATTTTCAGGGTAAATTCTAAATTCTCTTCGTGTATATTTCTTTGCGCACGCATGTATTAATTCTTGAATAATAATACCTTAAAATTGAACAAAAATACTTTAGAATTATCGAATAATATTTTCAGATTATATCTATATTATTTTCATTGTAATATTTTTTAGAAAGCGCAAATGTGTTTGGATATTATTATTTAAGAATCGTAAAAACATACATCGCTGTACGCGAGTAAAGCGTTCTATCGGTGCCCTCGGCTTTTTCCAAGAAACCGAAGGCCTCGGTAGGCGCTCCCACAGTGAAAGGATTGAAGATGTAAAAAAATGCATAAATATATGTAATGTACGTTTAATCGAGAGAAAGTGGGTGTTGGGAAATTTAATTAAATTCTAATGCAATCATTTTATATCGTCCATACATAATATATAAAATATTTCGCCGAACGAAATCAAAGATTTCTAAAGGCGAAATCATTGAAACCATTTTTATGATACTTCTTGTAAAATAAATTCATATACTTAATAGCATCGATATAATCGTTCTTATCCGCGATCTCTCTTCGTACGAAAAAATTATGTCAAGCTCAGAGGTCGTCATACTTGGGATCTGCATATACATACATGCACCTTCGGGTCTCGCTTAATTATATACATGTATAAATGAGATATAACACTCTGACTCACCACCAGTTGGCTTGCGCGCCGCTCTGCCACGCGACGATCAGCAAAGACACGAGCAGGTAGTAGCTCGTTGACATGACGAGCGTGCGTTGCGTGCGGCAGCAAATCCCGTGTGTGCGGACTCTCTTTTAACCGCGACTGCCGAAGTTTCTTTTTAACCGAATTCCGAAGTCCAGGTCTCTCTCTCTCTCTCTCTCTTTCTCCTCGTGCTGAAAGCGGCGAAGGAGAGGAGGATTAAGCCGGTGGACCAAGCGTTTCTCTTCGTGTGCTCTCTCGTCCCTTCTTCAGCCTCTTACATTCTTACACGCGCCGCCGACGATGGCCCGTGTCTCGCATCGCTTCTCGCGAACGATATCGGACACGTATTGACGTGCGCGACCGAATAACCGAAGATCCGGGCGGCGAGCAACGACAAGAGGATCGAGAAGAGAGAAAGAGAGCGCGCGAACACCGGGATCGAGCGATCTTTGACAGCGCGCGCTGTCCCGGAGCGGAGCCACGGCAACGTTGCGGAATAACCACGTTCTCTCTCCTTTCTCGCGTACCTCGTCTCTTTGCGAGAGAAGCTGCTCGTGCTCTACGAAAAAAGACGCGGTTTCTCTCTCTCCCCGACTTACATTTTTTTGGTTATCAACGGTAAATCGCGCTCTCACGGTTTTTTGCGCGGACGCGAAGAAACTAGAGATAGGAATAAAGTTGTTGCAAACCGGATCTCGATTTAACAAAACCTGGACGAACTTTCGCGTCGCGCGCGACGAGCCTCAGGAGCCGGGACGACGAGCGAGATGACGCTCCGTGAACGTTCGCGTACGAACTGCGGTCGGTAGTCACGAGGAAAAGGGCAACGGGGCTCTCGCGAAGGGGCGGAGTCGCCGCTAGTTTGCGGCGCGCCGATTGGCCGCGTCGCCGAAGAGCCTCCGAGGCTCCACTCGCGCTAATTAAGCATCTCGGCGCAGCATCCCGTCGCCGGTCCAGAGCGCGTACGTTCGCTCGCTCGCGATTCGTTCCCTCGTCACTCGTCTCTTTCTCTCTCTCTCTCTTTCTCTCTCTCTCGAGCGCGACTTGTACGCGAAGGGGCCGCGCCGTGACGTACCCTTTGTCGCTGGATCGAGATCATTTCGAAATAAAGGACACTCAGCATGGGCGTCCGCAGAGAAAGGACAGTTGCCCCTCTCTTGGAATTATTAAAGAATTATTTTTTTGCATATTTAATATAAAAGAAATTAAGAACAAAAAATAAGAAATAGAATTTCGAAATAAGGGACACTCTGCATGAGCAAAGGGGGATTTGCCCCCCTTCTTGGAATTATTGAAAAATTATTTTTGCATTTAATATAAAAAAATTAGGGACAAAAATATAAGAAACAAAAAAATTTTAATCATGTTTCCGCCCTGAAAAAATCCTGCGGACGCCTATGGGACATTAGGAGAGAAAAAAACATACTCGTATCTTTGAATATTGATATGATAAAAATTGTCGAACTTATCGAGGTGTTATTGTTTTTTAGATGATAATTGAAATTACATTTAGAAGCAGAAGTTAAAAATAATGTCACATTCTTGAAATTGTCACGTTTATGTGATAATATTGAGTGAAAGGTTTATAAATTAGACGATTAACATTCATATTGGATAATTCATGATCTCTCTCTTATTTTTTTCAACACTGAAAAAGATCTGTTAACTTGACTAAACCTTTTAACTAAATTATTATTTTGTTAATTGAACATATATTTGAGTCAAATATACGTTTTGTTAGATTAATGTTATATTCAATTTACATATTTTTATGTTCAATTAACAAAATAATATTTAGTTTAAAGATTTAGTTAACAAATTTGTTATTTTCAGTGAAGGAATATAGTCGTAATTATAATATATAAAGAAATTTTTATCTTTTTTGGTAAAAGAAATTTCTTGGCAAAAAAAGTATTAATACAATTACTATTTTTATTTATATCAAAAACATAAAAGCTGCGTTAAATATTGAGTATTATTAATAATATTTCAAATATTCAATTATCCATAAATTATGTTTAAGCATTTAACAAATATTTTTATATAAAAATATAAGTAAAATAAGACAATAAAGAATGCTAAAACGTATATACTTCGGGAAACATAAAAGTTATAAAAATAGAAGTTTTCATACATTGAAATTTTTTAAAACTTATAATTATTTATCCAAAATTATATGTATCTTTCGAAAATCTTATATTGCGTGCATTATTCGAATATATGAAAAATATGCTAAAAAATTCTAATCATTTAAATTACATTCTTCAGTCATTACGATAATGGAAATAAGAGATATTTGTTTCCGTTGAAAGAAAGTAATAATGTCGCTACTTTGTTTTGCCAGTCACGAAAAGAGTTGTTTAATCAATATACTGATATATCACTATCTAAAGCTAATTTTTCTTTCAATAAATTCGCTTTTTTATATGTATAAATATAGTTTTTCATTTTTGTAAATAGTTTAAAAGTTACATCAAATACAAACATATCATGTGTCGAATTGCAATTTTATCAAATTAAAAAAAAAATTTTTAAATCGAGATTTGATTTTAATTAAATACATTTTTTAACGTGATATACACATGTGTATACATTATATTGCCAAATAATTGTTATCGTTGAATAAAGCATATATTTATTATTTCTGTAAATTGTAAATATTGTACTATATTTTTTTATGAAAACGATAAAAAAATTTATGTTTAATCAAGAATAAATTCATTTTATAATTTCTCTTAAATGTAAACTTTCAAAGGATGTTAACAAACCATTAAAATTAAAATCTTTTATACGCAAAAAATAGAATGGAAATCTCTTATATTAACTTAATAATAGTACTAATAAAATAATAAATAAAAATCTTCTAAATGATACCCCAGCTGGTTTGCAATAAATTAATTTCATTTTATAAAAAATAAATACAAATTAACAAATATAAATTCACATTTCGAACAATGCAAATATAAAATAAATCTTTGTGAATTATTATGCAATTTAAAACTTGTTTTCTTTAGAATACGAAAATATCTATGTCGATCAATAAATTTCAATAATTTCACATGCATGTAAAAATAAATACTTTTGTGTATTATAATTATCGATTATATATAAATTGTAATATTAACAAATATATATTTCTGTAACGTTTTTCTAATGAAGGGGATATTTTAACATTTGTTGATTATGCCAAATTTTTCGATGAATCGGTTATTAAAAACAGAATGCTCTGATAATTTACATGTAATCATTACAAATAAGGCAACGCTGCCATCTGCGAGTCTGATGGAGCAATTTCTGTAAACAGCGGTAGATAAAAATTTTAAAAATGTACAATATGCATTTATATTCAATAAAAGTATGTTTAATATTTATATGAAAAATTATATAATCATAACAATATAAATATTAATGAATTACATATTGAAATAAATTTGAACATATGCTTAATAACAAATATTATATATTCTTTTATATATATATATATAAAAGAAATGTATATAATACATACATTTTATTTCTAATAATATCAAAACACAAATTCATAATAAATTAATTTGTTTGGAGAACTGTATTTTTCGTATGATACATATATTTATATAGATACATATTGTATGTGCAGAGTGTATCTCTTATTTTTTTATTTATTTATTCAATGAATACACTTTCATCCAAGACTATTGTTAATTTTACGTCATTGTTTCTAATAAATAAAAACAATAATATAATACATTTTCGTTTAACATTTTCATTATTTTTTTTTTGGTTGCACAAAAAGAAACAAGTATTATTCTAAACTTAATTATATATATTAAGCGACATAAGATGTATCTTAATATTCTAGTGCAATTAATATTATTTTAGAATATACATTGAATACATGGAAAATTATCTGATTATAAAACTGCTTTGGCAATTTATTATGTTGTATCATATATACAACAATTTATGTTCAAGGCACAGTTGCTTTTCTGAATTGATTATCACACATTTGACAAACAGAAATATCTCTTTTAATAACTTAATTAATGACTTATTAATACTTATCAAAGAATCAAAACAGACATTAGTGCACTATCATATTCATTGTTTGAAAATAATTTATGTAGTCATACAGTTGCAAACTCTGCCTGTCGTTGCGAAGGATTATGGTACAAGCCAGCCATTGCTTCCTGCAATGCTCGTAGGCATGCAACATGTGCTTTAAATCCTCCTGCTCTGTCAGTCTTACATTCACTACGTACATGTGAAACGTATCCACGAGCTTGGAGCTCTCGCCAGTTAGGTGGTGATGGACCTTCTATTTGTTGTTCAATAGGTATGTAAGCATAAAGGGGACCTTCTTCTATCTTTGGCATTGATAAATAGTTTTGACTTCCCTGATTACCAAATTTAATTCCCGTACTAAACTGAGTAACTCTAATGGCGGAAGGAGTAGAAGCTTTCGCCTCCTTCTTCTGAGTTTGTAGTGCGGAAGCAAAAGATTCAAGAATATTTTTAGCATTTCCCTCAGAGAATGTTAATTCGTCTATTAGGGCTTCTTTTTCGCGAATCTTTTTCTTCTTTATTTCCACCTCTTCTCTCGCAAGTTCTATCCTCCTTTCTTCCTCCTTTTGTTTTTCCAATTCTAGCATCTCCTCTAATTCGTATTCGCTTCTGCCAAGTTTGGACTTGCTTTTTGCTATTTGCTCCTTGTTGTCTCTCTTATACTGCTCTATCTTTTTATTTGTTTCAGCTACATCAATATTATTTGCTAAATTATATATTATAGTTTCAACTTCCTCTAAGTAGTCATTGTAGTCCCTTAACGTGGAAAAGTCTTCTTCCTTTTTATTAAAATCTCGCAGGATACGTTTCCTTATATTTACTTCCTTTTCAACCATTGAATCTTCAAACATTTGAACTCGGAAGTTTGTTCTTCTCAGTGGAATTTTGCATTCTGGGCAGGCTCCGGAACCTAAATAATTTCATAATTATATAAAGTATTATTAAATGGTATAATATTAATATTAGGAAAAATTATAAAAATAATAGATCGAACCTTTTAAAAACAGTAAATCCACACAACTCTCACATAATGTATGGCCACAAACATTCACCATCATTTTTAATGATGGATTTCGGTATTTGGTGGTTTTGCATCGTGGACAAGCTTGATCATCCATCTTCGAAAATAAAAAAAAATTAATTAGTTTGACAAATAATTTGTTTTCAATTTTTCTCTGATTCAAAATAGATTTCACTTGAAAAATCAACTTACGATTGCGATGATTGAGATTATCTCTTGTTCGTGAATATAATTATTTGATTAAATCAACCGCTGTGCACAAACTATCTAATATTGTGTTCTAACATCATAATGGATTTAATTAGACGTCACATACGGAGAGAAATAATTAAGGAGCATTACACATAATTCCATTTATACACGTAACCCTTATAACCTAAACTTGCTCATTGAAGTCAGTGGTGAGTCGACTTCAGTGAACACTCGATCTCGAATACTCTCGAATCACCTATCGATAGTAACCTATCGATGATATATCAGATATGGCTTCGGTCGTTCAGTCTTCAGTTTGAACGAAACGAGTCAGTAGTGCATTGTTGCAAAATTCATTGTTATTCTTGTTGCCCTGTGTTTGTGTTTACTTTGTTTGCTTTCGTTTGTTTCGCAACATTTTACTTTTCATTGATTGTGACAGGTAAGACCTAAATATTGACAATGAATAAATGTGTGAAAGCTATATATATATTATTTGTCAAAATCGATTATTTTTAATCAAACTCGTTGTAAGTAAACTTTATGTATTAAAGAAAAAATGTGACATTAATATTTTTAAATTAGTACGATCTTAATTTTCTATTATATAGTATATGTAATTTTTAGTATTTGATATATCATTAATATAATTAACGAAACTTAATAATAACATGGTTATAATTTGTTATTCTACTCAAGCTGAAAATGTCCAGATTCTTATAAACAATTAATGTATCTATCTTCGTTATAAAAAAAGAGCGTTTGCAACAAGAGCTTGTTTTTTAAACTCGTGAATTCAGTACGGTTTTGCAGTACATATATCGTATGCCATCGCGGTGAATAAAAAGAAATTAAAACAATGCTCATATTTTTCTATATAAATTCACTTCGTTTTACGTTTTCAATTTACAAGAAACTGAATGTGAACGTTTATTTTAGAACAAAAATTACAGAAATATTACTATACAAATCTATGCCTTTGTTCTTCAGTTTTATATATTCGCTTTTATAAATTTTTTTGCTCTCCAATTGTTAAACACCATTGCTTTATATCTGTTGTAAAAATGGATAATGGCGAGAAAAGCGTAACGCTAAATGCATTATTAGTCAATCAATCACAGTTTTATGACGCGAATTCTTTATAGAATCGTAATTACGTTTTCTTTACAATCCCTGAACTTCTAAAGTAATTAAATTTATTAACTTTTCATGATTTATTAAATTTTATTGAAATTGCATTCGAAATAGTCATGATGAATTTTTAAATTTATTTATTAAAATTTATTTGTTATTGATTATTGTTATTATTTATTACTAATAATATATTAATTATTAAATTATTATTTATTTGCAACAATATTTCTGCAAAGTAACGCAAATCATAAAATAATCAATCGAAAAAAATTAAATATAGATAGGTCAATTATTGATCAAATTGGAATATTATTGCAATGTGATTGACATAGCAAAAATAAATCTGACAACAATTATGAGAAATTTATAGCAAAAATATGACATTTAAAAAAAATAAAAGCAAAGTGGACCAAGGAGTGCATTGAAATTCGATTGACGCCGCGAAGCCTCGAAATACCTTCAATCATTCATTCGTTCTTTTTTATTTCTAAAGTTTGAAGAAAATATTGCAAATATTAAATATCTCGTTTTTAATTTAAATTTATTACGCATCGATATTACGCTACCTAATAGCAAATTATCGACACACTTGTAACATTTCACATAAAATGGAAAAAAGTACGAACGATTGATATATGTCAATTATATATAAATACATAAAACATACATGATAACTATTAGCTTTATGTCGAAGAAATATTATATATTTATAGACTTTGTACAGCAACGGATGTTCACCTCGAGAGAGATGAACAAAAAAATTACAGCTACCATATAACGAGTTAATAAAACAAATTTAACATTAATTTAGTAAAAAATAAAGAGAAAAAGAGAAAGAGAGATAGAGAGAGAAGCATATGTTAGAATTTACAAATACAATAACATTTTACGACTACGTCTTCTAAAAGTATAAAAAAACATCACTATATATCGATAAAATATAAAAGCTATAAAAAATTTTACCGAGCAGCGCCCATAATATTTATATTGTTCAAGTTTGCGCTCGCGTTCATTCGCTCGCTTCTCTCTGCTATTTACAAAGTAAAATACATTCTAGATTAACAAACAGCAAAATATACACACGCAATTTTCATAAGTGCCGGGAAATTTTACCCGAAAACTGAAAAAAAGACATTTAAAATCCACGAGGTACGAGAAAAAAAAAAAAACAGAGATGAATCTTATATAGAGAATCCACTGCCAAGTTTAATCGGCGCCGTGGTATCTTGGGACGGTATATTCGATTCCCGGATTCCCGGCTAGGGATGCTGCGCGAGAGAGAGAGGACGAGCGAGAAAGGGCGAAGGTGTGAGCGCGAGAAAGAGAGCGTGCGCGAAAACGGCGGCGATAAAACGGAGAGGGATACACGCTTGCGCCAGGAATATCACCCTCATCTCTCCTCGCACATTGCACCCTCGTGCAAGGGGACGAGAGAGCGGGGGTGTGTTGCGAGGATAGATGGCAGGGCGTCTCTCCCGGGCAGCACAGGGCCGCGCAAAGCCGCGTTTGCACGCACTGTCAGTTCTCTTCAGTTTCGCTCGGATATCCGTGCAACGAGTGACATTCGCGCCGATCTGCTCCGTCGAATCCGAGGGATCGTTCCTCCCTTGTCGAGGGGATATATAATATATCGGGTCGCGTGTCAAGAACCGGCGACCAGGACGCGCCGGAGACACGCCTGTCATTATCGCGAGATGAGAGAAAAGGATGCGTGCTTGAATCACGACACCGTCGTTTTTCCTCGGGATTGATTCCTCCCCTAATGTCGATTCTCGATGCTCTTAGATCGCAAAACGGGGTAATTAAATAGAGCGTGTCGGGGAGAGACACAGTGAGTTTCGCGAGTTTTGTATATATTTGTATAGAGAATAATAATTCTCCAAGATATGTTAATTTCGTATTTTTTTTCTTTTTCCTTTTTTTTTTTAAATGACACGACCAGCGCGACGATCAAACGGGCGATTTCGTCGAGGATGCGATAAGACGAGGGTCGCAAACGGACGTGGGAGAGAAACCGAAGATCCGGAAGGATGCGTGTATCACGCCCCGCCGGTGCTTTTCAATTACGCGAATCTAGATCGCGAGGCTGTTAGCAAATTAAGCGGGCTTGAAAGCGGACTATGCGGGCCGAACGCGATATAGAAAGAGGCAAATAACGACCCCCGTCGCGATGAGCAATCGTCTTGCTGTTACAAATTCGCAGTTACAAAGTAGGGACGTAACGGTGCCATGGAGCGTAGAGGCAAGAAAAACCGGAAATCGTCGATTTATTATTCGATAAGCTCGTCTTGAGATTTCCGTTCTCCGGCAAATTTTCACTGTGCAAAGTATATATATACATATATATTATATATACACACACAAGCGAAATTCGCGGGCAGTTCCTCTTTTTCTACGACCCGCAAAAGTTTCATTCATCCTTCAGGATCGAGGAGGAAATCGACCAGCGCTCCGAAACGACTATGAGAGATAAAAAATGAGGTGCCTAATCTTAACCCTCGGTCTGCTGGTTTCGGGTGAGTCAAATAAATCGCAGTCGACGTCGACAACGCGCCAAATCTCTCCGTAACATACAATTGCAGCGGAAAAAGCGGATCTAGAAAAATATGATATTCAGTTATTATCCAACCAAATAGAATGAATGTAAATTTTAGATGATTCAGTTTTATTACCAAATAAAAGTTTAATCTGATATTTATCAACCGAATTATGCAATATTTGTGTATGTATCTGATGGAAAAAAATTCTCTTTTATATAGATTAATTTTACTATTTAATAGAAATTTTATTTTTACACGTGGTTTCAAAACAATGCTAAAAATATATTATATTATAAATCAAGGAAGAAAATATCAAACTTGACAAGATTATTGAGAAACCAAATCAATAATTCGTCTAAATAATTATTCCATTTACAGTTATGTAATAATAAAAAAATTATATAATATAATTATCCGCTTAAAAAATTATATATATATATATATATATATATATTTACTTTACAATCGTAAAAATAAGTGTTAATGGTCACTCACCGTACATAAGTGATTCTTGAGTGTTGCATGATATATTTGTTTCCAGAAAAGTTTCTGGTTCGATTAAAACACGAAGAATACGAACAATGAAATTAGTTTTACGATTCCAACAAACAAATAAACTTTAACTGCTTTTCTTCTTTTCAAAACAGGTTAATGATGTTACGCGAAGCACGTTCAGATCGAGCGGCGCGTAAACTGCCTTTTTATGTCGCGATACGCATTGAATATCTACCCCTTTTCGCGAGAAATCACGCGATGAAATATTATATATTTAGCGGGGTGGGGAATACTGACACAGTATATTACAGTGTATTACAGTGGATTTAGTTAGCTTCCAAACTTAGCCTTAACTTTGTAATAACTTAGTCTTAACATTAGCTTTGTCCAAAATACGAGTTTATACAGCAATTAACCCGAAATTTCCATGTATAGCTCTGATCTAAAGAGACAAGATCTATAATATTATATAATATCACAGAGCAAAAAAAAAGATAATTAATAAAATGCAGACATATACGTAACTTGAATTCTTTTCATACAATATATCGTGGAACAGAATATTCTTTAGTATTTTTGCGTATTTTTACGTATAATAAATATAATTGTGTGTAAAATATGATACTTAATTAATATTAATATTTTCCTGTTTCCTCTTTGTTTAAATTTCCGCTGTTGCTTTTATTAATATTACAATTTTTCGCAAAATATTATTCCGCACCATTTCGTGCGTACGCGTACTATTTGAGAAATTATATTAATTATTACAGATTAATTTTAAAAAATTGTAATTATATTATATAACATGCACACATCATTTTTTTTATCTGAATATTCTTATTTGATTTTTGCAACCCAACAGATTACATTGCTAAAATTATATTGTTTAACATGCCGTATAATTTTAATTAATTTCAGTTCAATGACTTTAATGATTCTTACCTTTACCTTCACTTGACCTTACTGTTCATTCAACAGTAAGCGTACCATAAAGCACTATATTGAATTTGTATACTTTGAACAGAAATTTCATCGACCTGCAAACGTTAATTTGACAAGTACATATTCTC